TTAAATTATTTTAAAAACCTTTTAAAAAACTTAAAATTTTTGTTAATAAAGTTGATAAAATATATATTAAATTATATTTTTTATATAGTAATAATATTACTAAAATTAATATTTTATATTTTATAAAGAAATTAACAATTATTTTTAATTTCGCAGACAAATTTGCCTGCTAGACAATCTAAGGGATAATGAAATTTGTTACGATTCGATATTACGAATTTTGTAACGAATTGCATTATGATTTATTATGATTTGTTTAAACGAAATTTGTATAACAAATCATTTAACAGAACTCGTTTAACGAAATCTGTAATGAATCATTATACGAATTTATTTAACGAAATCTGTAATGAATTATTTAAATGGAATTCATTTAACAAAAATCATAACGAATTGTATTATAGATTCGTTAATGAATTGTTTAAAAGGAATTTGTTTAACGAAAACTATAACGAATCGTTAAATAGAATTCATTTAATGAAAACTAAAATGAATCATTTAAACAAATTGTATTATTAATTTGTTAATGAATCATTTAAACAGAATTTGTTTAACGAAAACTGTAACTAATCATTAAACAGAATTTGTTTAACGAAATCTGTAATAAATCATTATACAGATTCGTTAATGAAAACCTGAAACAAACTGTTAGCTAGATTCATTTAACGAAATCTGTAACAAATCATTAGTCAGATTCGTTAACAAATCGTTATAACGAATTTCATGACAAATTGTCATAGCGAACTATTAATAAATTTCATTATGGATTGTTAATAAATCTTGTTAACGTGACTTGTTAGCGAATTGTTACAAATCGGTAAATTCTAATTGAATAATCAGGTATTATACTTTTCCTCCAACTTGGATTTTAAAAGACCAAATTTAATTGCATCATCAAAGTCTCCTGCGTTAGCATTTTCAAGTGCTATCATATTTGTCTCTAAATGTGATATAGAATTTCAAATTTTATCTAAGTACTTATCCTGTCCAGTATATTGTTCATGTTTAGCAAAAATAGTTGCTATTGTATTATATATCAGTTGATATCTAGTATCTACCATGTTTGGTGGATTAATAAGCAGATTATTTTGTAGATTTAAAATAATTTGCTGAGAATTTATTTCTCGAGATTAAATACCTAGGCTCAATTAAATTCTGCTAAGTCAGCCTCAGCTTTGAATCTTCGATTTATTAGTCGAAGGATCACCTTTTCTTGCAATAACATATAGTTACGTCTTTCTCCTCTCTGAGTCTTAAGTCACCATACCTGTCATTCATTTGCTTCATTATTATATGCTAAAGTTAATAATAGAGCTCCTCAAAAACATTTATTTCTAACATTTGCCATATTATTCATAAGGTTATTGACCTGCCCATTAGCCATATTAAGCAAACCTTGATAATGTAAGACTTTATTTGCTACCCTTTGCATATGAGCATTAATAGTTGTTAATGTTATTTGTATACTATTCAAGGTATTTTTAGGGTTAAATAATCTATCTCCATCAACATATAATTCAACACAGTCTATATCTGTAGCAATATCTCTTAAAAGTTCTGGTAACGCCATTGGTGAACTATTTATTTAGAATAATTTTTTATCTGTAATCTCCCTAATTCGTTTCTTAAGCTGTTCAACCATGTCTTCTAGCCTTAAAATATGAATATCTTAAGCAGTACTTGCATTATCTTTATGCTTTAAATCCTGTAATGCTTTTTGAAAATGCTATTTAAGAGATTTTATTTTAGACTTAAGAGATGTTATCTCACCTCCGTGAGCTAATATTTCTGAATCCTAGTGAGATAATGTCCTATAACAGGTTTCTAGCTCCCTAGAAAGAGATTTTAGCTTTTTATCTTTAAGTTTGTTTTTAGCTATTTCATCATCCAATTATTTACGTAATTCTGTATTAGTATCTAGGATTTTAATATAAGCCTCTTCCTCAATTACAGTCTTTCGGAATGTTTGCCTAGCCATATTTTATTTGAGCAATTTTTTTCTAATACTATTTGAATGAATATGAAAAAAAAGTTATTAATCCCTATTATTCAAATAGATTCAGGTGAAGCTCAAAAACTTGATGTATCTATTGATTTGCAAAAGATTTATTACCAACCTTCAGGTTATCAGAGGACTGCGAAAAAATTGCATGAAGCTTCTCAAAAAGCTGGGTTTGATTTTACCTTAAATGAAGTGTGTGATTGGCTTGAGAAATAAGCTATGCATCAGGTTCATAAATCTTATCCTAGAAATATTCCAAATGCATCTTTCATTAATGTTACTATACCTATGAAGGTTATTTAATACTATATACCTTACGATCAAATTGGAAATAAAATTTATAAATTTGCACTTAATTGTGTAGATATTACTACTCGTACAAATAAACCTATCTCTTACTAATTGTGATTCTGCTAGTGTTGCTATAGGCTTTGAAAAACTTTTTAACTTCCCAAAATATCCGCTTACTTGACCTAAAAAAGATCTTATGGTAAATGGGAATGTTAAATTTTGGGGTGATGTTATTAGATTAATGAATAAATATGGTATCAATATTCTAATAGCTAATTCTAAAGAAAGTATGGGTATTGTTGAAAAGTTTAATAAGACATTACAAGAATGGTCATCTATTATTCAAGATGCTGTTGATATGAGATTACCTATATTAGAACATTGTTGAGCTTGGGTTAGAAACCTTTCAATTTTTCTTAAGAAACTTGATAATTCTGTGACTCGTCTTTTAGGTATTTCTCCTGCTAATGCACGAAAACTAAAGCATGTTTATGCAAAATCTTCTAAGTCTTAAAATGGGACTATGGGGTTTGATAAGAAGCAATTAACTTGTAAGATATTTACTTAAACCAGGTGAGTTAGAAGGTAGAAGAAGACGTGCTGGAGATATGATTTGGTCTCCTCAAGTTTATTATATCTGTGAATCTTTAGTGCAAAAAAATCAGCCAATCTTATATTAGCTGGAAAATGATGAAGGCAATAGCCCAAAAAGATCTTTTGTAAGAGAAAGATTAATGATTATTAAAGAAGCTTAGCTACTGTACTTATATGATAAGGAAATCCTCAAGTGTTTTATCAACTTGTTCTTTTATAATAAAATAATCCTTAGCTAACCTATAGTATAACCCATATAGTTCTATAACTGCATTAAGAATTTTTAAATCTTTATCATAATAAGATTTATAATCACTAATAACTTGCTTATATTTATCTTCTGTTTGAAATAGTCTTCTCGCATTTCTAAGATACATGATTTGGGATTTTCTGTCTGATGTAATTCTAGAATACACTTTTTATAATTTTGCATAAACTTACCATCTTTTGGTCTTCCACAGAGAATCCCTGCCTTAAGCACTTTGATTAAAGCCTTTTCGACTTCCTGGAAGGTTGGCTTTGCTTCAGATAATTAAATTTGTGTACTCATTGTGAAAGTACTTGATTTATTATATAATACTTATATAAAATTTTATTTTAATTAATTATTTTAGTATATAAAGTATAATTACATTATGTATGGTAAATATACTTATCCTTTATATACTTTTCTGGTGAAATTTGTGATTAATCCTGTATGTGTGAACAAGGATATTCTATTCATTGAAAATATGTTATAAAGTTAGCTAATAAGCAACTTACTCCTTGTAGTGAATGTAGTAGACTTAATAGATCAGTTTCTGATCAATATTCTGATCATATAAAAGGGTTTTATGTCTCCCAATACTACGCTCTAAAACCCTAATGAATAGTAGATAATCTATTAAAATTTTGGTATCCATTACCATTTTTTTTGACTTAACATTTATGAGAAAGGAATAGCTCTAAAATTAATTCTTATATATTGTGAAATTACTGGTATACTGGAATGTGATCTATAGCTTTTAAACTTTATTGTATACATACAGAATTTTGGTATCCACTTTAAGGTGGGTACTGAAATTATAATCTTGTTAGATGAATATGAATCTGCTTTAGAATTTATTCTAGAATATTATAAAATATGGTATGCATTTTAGGCTTGCATGATCAGGTCCAGCTCAAATCGCATCACTTTGTTTCTTGATTTTTGATAGCCCCTCCTGAGGTAAACAGAATAGTAAAAATTTTTTGATATATTATTTGAGATTAAAATCAGGCTAGAATGGCTATATCAAACAGTATAATTCTTGATATCTGAAGACTAATTCCTAGCCAAGTTCGATATCATCATCTATATTTGAGTTAAATTGCACTAGAAACTTGAATTCAATAATTTGATTCATATAGCTAAAATTGATTCGTAGGTGAACAGGAACCTTTCTGGATATCTTTTGGATTTTTGTCCCAGAACCCTTCTTTTTGTCATAGTAATAGTCAGGGATTGTAAAGTAAGTAAAATACTAGTAAACGAAAGAATAATAATATTTATCTTAATTGTATTTATAATAATATTCTAATAATTTAAAATTTTTAGTTATTTGAAAAGTATGTGAATAAAGACGAGAATGGAAGGTGGACTCATGTTAGAGAAGTTTTTGGTGAACAATTCAAGATCTCATTTTGGGAGAGACCAGATTGGAATAATAAAACTTTCCAATTGATATTTAATTGAAGAAAATTATTATTAAAATTAAATATTTATATTATTTAGTATCATGTATACAAAAAAGAAGGCTTGCAAGATTAGCTGAAAGAAAAACAGAAAAAATTTAAATTTTTTAGCATCCTTTCAATCCTCTCAATCCAAAACTCAAAATAATCCTAATCTTCAATAATCCGTCTTTTTAACTATTATCACTTCTTTTTCCAACTACCTTTATTTTTTTCATATTTCATAATTTTAACTAGTCTCTCTCTTTCCTTTATCTTTTCTATTATCTTCGCTTATTCCTTTCACTCAGTTTTTTTTTATAAATTTTTTTTCTAAATTCCATTAAAAAAAACCTAAATAAAGCTTGTCATCTCTACATAATATTCAAAATCAACAGTTATAGGTTAATCTATATCTGGCTAAGAGCAAGTATTCCTTCATAACTTTAATTCGTTAGTTATTTATTATTTAAAATTATTTATCGTAGGAAGGTATTATAAACAGTAAGTATCCAGTGTACTTTACAATTTCTGTATCCCTATATATAGTATCTACCAGTGTAATATATCTCGGGTATAGCCAAAAACCTCTAAAATTTTCTCATAATATACAGTACTTTGAATGTGCAGATACCAAATTGAGCTTGAATATTACATTTGTGATGATTTTAAGATTTCTTCTATTTTGATCATCATGTTTATCGATTTATAAACAAGATTTATCATGTTTTACAAATTTCTTGTTTAATAATCATTATCAGCCAATAGTAATGTTGCTATCCGAAACTATTTAGGAATTTTCAAAACTAAAACTAAAACTAAAACTAAAACTAAAACTCTACTAA